TGGATGGGTGGATGGGTGGATGGGTGGATGGATGGATGGATGGATGGTTGAATGGGTCAATTAATGACCTGCTGTATCCTTTCAAAAACTCCTTGATATATTAAGGCGCGCGCACTTTTTAAAAGACGAACTGTATTATAGATGGAGAGTCAATACTTAGTTATTTCGACCATATTTTGTCGCTAAAATCTCATAAATGTTTTCATCTTATTACTGTACTAGGTATTCACTCTTGATGGAGAATATGTCAAGGGCTTTGGTGGTCAAGGCAACGATCATCTCCACCACCCAAGTGGTGTAGCTGTTGACAAAGAGGGCCGAATTATAGTGGTTGACCGTGGTAACGCCCGCGTAGTCATCTATGACGACGACGGTAACCTAGTAACGAGTTTTGGTAGCTTAGGTAACGGTAGAGGCAATTTTAACAGCCCATCTCATGTAGCAGTGAATAGCAAGGGTCATATCATTGTTTCAGATTTTGGGAACGATCGCATTCAGGTATTCAGTTCTTCAGGCACTTTTATGTTTCGTTTTGGAGAAAGTGGTCGAGAGGATGGTAAATTCAATTGGCCTACCGGTGTTGCTGTCAATCAATCAGACCAGATTATCGTAAGCGATTCTTACAATCATCGGATGCAAGTATTTCAGCCCGACGGAACATTCCTTAGTCGATTTGGTAGCGAAGGTGGGAGAGAGGGTGAATTCAAAAGGCCAGGTGGAGTGGCTGTTACTAATACTGGAAATATAGTTGTAGCTGACTGGGGCAATGATCGAATACAAGTGTTTTAAAACCACCTATCAGTCAACTTCAATATACATCATTCAAAACATATTGTTTTATGAAGTATAGTCTCCCTAGCATTAATTTACACATGCAAGGCTTAACACTGCTGAGAGATTGTGGTCTCTTTGAGATAAGTCATAACTAAAAAGGGCATTAATCTCCCTCTCATCTTTAGTCACTCACCATAGTTAATAGAGCAAATAATTTCTTTTAATTAACTAGTAAAACAGTAGTAAGAAATCGCAAGACACTCTGGGAATCAAGGGTGAATTAACGTTAAATTGCACTGGTCTCTCACTTTTTGACTTGGCATCACAAATCCATAAGTAGAGTTTCTTGGCTCAATCATTAAAAGAGTTTTTGTCGTGTTTTCTCCTCCCTCTCTAAAATCTAGCATCTGTGAGCTAGTTAATTAGTTTTAAAAGGTTCTATAAGATGCAAGTGTAATGAATATTTAAGACACAAGTCAACATTATCAAAGTTTGGGATTGCCTACAACACTGTTCGCAATGTTGAACCGTGTGTTGTCAACTTTAGCGCCCTGGTGTAAATAGAATTGTATGGTTGACGGCATGAACGTTTTGCACTTTTTTTATATTTGCACTCCCAATTGCATGCGTTTTAAAAATGTTCTTGATAGTATCTGAGACATTTGGGCAATCAAGCATTAATATACAAACTGTAATTTAAAAACTACAGTATTATGCTATCTCTTGTGCAGGATTAGACAGATACAGTAACTGTTGAACTTATAGAGTATTCATACACTGAAATGAATTAACTGGCTCATGCTCATTTTTCGTTAAAGCTTGTTTTATTTTGATTTATGAGTTCTTATTAAGTGTTAAATGAATTTTATAAAATAAGAAGCTGTTTTCAAATTTTAGGTTAAAACAGGTTCTTATGTAAAGAGGATCATGGCTAAAATGAAAATTTTGGGCTAATAGGTTCTTAATCACTATGTTGTTATATGCGGGCTTTTAGTGTGCATAATATAAGCCGCTATCAAGTTTAATATAAAAAAGTTGCTTTTAAAAAACATTTAATGTTATAATTTTCTCTTTGGCTATGATAGTAATAACAATTTTCAAAACAGTACGTTATAATTATGTTACATAAACGGAGCAATAATTTTGATAAAAATACTGTTGTAAGTAAAAGGTTTTATATCTATTTGACAACTTCAACAACTTAAAAATAATTTCCTTTGAGAAGGAAAGTTAATTTTTAGTGAAATATAATCAAATTTACGAAATTCACTTCAAACATGCTAAATGACATTAATATCTTTATACATTCAATTCTAAATCATTGTCGGGATAAAAACATAGAACATAGAGGCTGAGGCTGAAACGTATGGTGCAAAATGGCGTAATTATGTCATATACATTTGCGATACACAGTGGATATGAAACTTGTTATAAGCCTCCATGCTTTCTGTGAGTGCAACAATGTATGAACATTCCACGAGTTATACATTAAAACCCCGCGTATAAGAACCTAGATTTTTCCAGGCCAGCCTGAACAGGTTCTTATATAAATGGTGCTTAAACTTGAAGTATTATTCTTAATTTTTGGTAATAAAAATAGAACTTGTATTGCTGGGTGTGGCATTTAATTCATTAAATAGATCACACATTTTCATGCTAGCTACATGGAATATGGTAGAGTGCAAACCATTAAAAGCACATAAATCGTACAAAATAGTGCTAAGTTATGCACATATTATTGTTTTCTATTGTTTTGCAAAGTACAGACCCTTTTAATAAGAACCTACTTTGAAATTTCTGCCTGAAAATTTCAGCCTGACAGGTTCTTAAATTTTACGTTCTTATACGCGGGTTTTACTGTATGACTACATACATCTAATCAACGCACTTCCCATGTACCATTTCGGTCTCGTCTTGTGTGTTCTATGCTTTGAACCTGGCAATGACTTTGCTATCAAGTGTATATGTTTTTCCTGGAAACACGGATATGGTGTTAAAAATAGGTAGATACCTGGAAAAACTCTGATACACTAATACACCTAATTGAAAAAACGTAGTCGGGTTCAAGAAGGTCATATCATCGAAGCTAAGACCGAAAAGGACTTTGGGTACTCCGAAATGTGTATTATATTTGCATATAGACATGTGAAAATGCACAGTAGAGCAAAGTCGGTCGACTTAGATTAACAACGTGCCAAAGCCATGATGCATAAAACGTGCAATACGCATGAAATTAGCATAAKTGTTTGTCTTCCCATGCTCCCCTTTGGTCTTAGCTTTGATGATATAACCTTTTTTTGAACCTGACGTTTTTTCAATTAGGTGTATACTTAGGTGTAGTAAGCAGAACAAGCTTTCTTCCATCAAGTAGCATAGCGTCATCATAGTGCGGCTCGACATTGCAGCCCTGCCGTTTGTGTAGCTCAAAATACACTAGTTCTATCCTAAATATATCTAGTTTATCATTTTAAGACTTTAGAAGCTCTTTCTAACCAAGGGAGGGTTCTTTTTTATATTTATATAAGATTATGTTTCCCATTGTTTTCCATTCGCTACTCAATAGAAATATGTAATGGTTCTGAAATACAAAAACAAACGAATAGATTACTAGCTAGTTATTATTAATAAGGAATTAGTTAACTCTTTCTTGGTGTTACAAGGCAGCAACCTGAGGCATGAAGCAAACCAATATTCAAAGATAATGAAATTTGGAGCTAAACGATACCCTACAAAACAAAAACTCTGATATATAATGCAATAATGCTTGCTACGGCAAGAAAGACCAAATTAGTTTAAGAAAAGTTGAATAAATGAAAGAACTGTTTAAGTGAATAAAGTGATAAATTGTCCAGTATTTCTGCGTTGTGAAATTATAGGTTAAAGTAAGCTCAGGATTCTTTTTTGAGAAACTTTTATTATAAAATAACTGTTATAAAACTCGCGTTCTGATTGGTTGGGAGAAGTGCCTTATGAGAGCACAAAACATGGGCGCACACTTTCTATTATCCTTAAAAAACATTTCTTTAAACGGGTTTTTACATTTTTATGATAACGAGAAAAAAGAAAGCGAAAGCGAGAATAAAAATAAACAAACAAAAAAGAAACAAGAACGAAAACAAAAGAGAAAACAATGCAAAGCAAAAGCAAGACAAATAAAAAGAGTTTTTCTTTCGTCAGGTATTCTTATTATAGAGATTACTGGTGAGAAACATACTAGTTCTCCTTTACTAAGCAGAGTGCATTACAGTTGCACTAAATTAACATCTGTGTTCCCTCACGTAAGTATAGCAAGTATAGTAAGTATAGCTTCTCAATCTAACTCACTGTTTATCGTATTTTGTGACAACCCGGCCTCGTTTTTATGTTTACCATCGCCAGTCTCCACGCGACATTTTGGAGTTATTCGTATGTTAAGTATAGACTTTACCTCTAAGAAACTTGGAGCCTTTGCATCCTTTACTTGAGCACTGCCATCTACTGTTCTCACACGTACTATAGAAAAAGGTTGATAAATAGTTTTGTTAGTTATAATACATGATCAATTGCCCAGTGTAAAGTCTTGTTTCTACTCTCCATTGTCTTTTCTTTTAATTAAGGAAAATGCTTTTTATATTTTACCCTGTAAATAAAGTTTCCGGTCCTACATACCAAATTGTGCATCTGTCTGGAAGCACGGTTTTCTCTCCCGTAATGTATTTCTGACCATCGTAGTTACACACTATGAGAAGAACATAAGACATAAACGAATGACCAACCAATATAATCGACCCACAATTTGTATGTACATTAGTTAAAGGAGGTGAGATAAAGCAAATACAAGGGCTAGCTAAGAGAAAACGAACTAAGAGAAGGAATCTCTGGTATTCATGCTTGTAACCATCTTAGGCACCGTTTGATGCTATTTTTAGAATCACATTTGCCAATTGCTTGTTTTTCTGCATTAGGATATTACGCGCATACGTGCATACTTCATTCCAAAGTGGCATCAAAGAGTGCTCATGGGACGCAGGGATTCCTTCCCTTAGTTAATTTTCTCTTGGCCAGTGTAAATGTAAACGTACACTACTTATTTGATAGTCTTCTGGACAACCCAGGGCAAGAATTGTTGCCAGCTTGCAATGCATAGCTTGAATTGCAAGTGAGTTAAACGGTAGTTTAAAGTGCTACTACGACGAAAATCGCTCAAACTTGGATTCAGCTGAAACTTCCTAAGAATACTCTTTAAAGGTCCAATAATCACTGTATGAAGTGTTTTCTCGATATTCAGGACGAAAGTATGATATTTTTACGATTATTTTTTGGAGTCTGTGACGTCATACACTCAACATCGAACATCGCTCCATACATTTCTTTGTAGTTTATGATCAAAATATCAGTAGTAAAGGGAGAAAGAAATACCCAAACACCCCAAAATATAAATTATAGTCACAAGTAATGTGAAATAAGCACATTAGCCACCCTTTGGGCTTCATAAGAATAAAATAAATTAAGGATTTATATACAAAGAAATATATGTAGCAATGTTTGATGTTGAGTGTATGACGTCACAGACTCCATAAAATAATCGTAAAAATATCATACTTTCGTCCTGAATATCGAGAAAACACTTCATACAGTGATTATTGGACCTTTAAAGAGTATTTTTAGGAAGTTTCAGCTGAATCCAAGTTTGAGCGATTTTCGTCGTAGTAGCACTTTAAATATCATATTGTATTGTATCTCGTACCCGGTTTATTTTCTCTAACTATGGGTTTTGGTATCAGTAACTTTCAACGATATATCTTAAGATAATAAACATGTCAAATATGTATTTCAATGAAAGAAAGTCTCACTTGAACCAACTTGAAGTTCATATTTTGGATACTGAATGTAGTTGTGTACTTACTTGTTTGAAAGTCTTGTGGACACACAGGGCAACATCTTCCTTTCATTTTAAATGAATCTTCGCAACGAGGGTTTGCGCAGTTTACCATTGAGCAGTTTCCAAATCCATCATTACCGCATTGGCAATATGAGCACTCGCTTGGTAACCAGACTGCCCACACTCTTACAGGCTCATCTCTGACTTCATCTATACATTGAGGCTTTTCTAAGGACCACAAAAAAACAACGTAACTACCGGGTTCGTAATTGAATACTCGCTCACTAGAACGATTTTAAACAACGCGACGCGCCTTTAAGAAAGAAATAAGTAGGGAGTAACAAGCTTCGCACTTTTAAATTTTGTTGTGCGAAAACGGATAAGTATACGTAATTCAGTGAGACGGAAGCCTGTACTTTTCTTTCCTTATATCTTTCGCTTGCAAATTTCTTTCCTACCAGATATGTCTGTGAATCCGTGATGTGGGTCCCTGTTGCAGGACCATTTCTTCTTCTTACACTTGCTGAAAAGAGCAACGAAAATGAATGAATGAATGAATGAATGAATGAATGAATGAATGAATGAATGAATGAATGGATGGATGGATGGATGGGTGGGTGGCTGGGTGGGTGGCTGGGTGGATGGATGGATGGATGGATGGATGGATGGATAGGATATGATATCAACTTTATTTAGACACGAAAGCTCTATCAAACTTAAGTACAATGATATAAAAAGTCTCATACAAAAGAACCTAACTTTGGTCTACCTAGAGGCCGTGTAGAATATAACAGTAAAAATATAAATACTATTTACACATTATATTGTAATATGCTAAACTATCATTACGAAAGAGAAAAAACAGATTCTAAATAATTAATTAGATAAAATCAATCCTTATAGCTATTGATGCAGAGATCATACTGTTTAATTCTCTTTTTAAATTTTGAAAGGGAGCGCTCCTCTTTCAAGGAATCAGGTAAGGAATTCCATAATTTTGCACCAGTGTGCGCAAAACGTTTCTTATAGATATCGGTTCTGACCTTGGGAAGTTGGAAATTGTTTGCAGAACAGCGTAAAAAGTAAGAATCGGTTCCGAGGTGATTTTGGAACATATCTTTCATATAGGGTGGGGCTAAACCATTAACAATTTTAAACATCATTACAGCTTTCTGCTGTAATCTGCATTCAGCTAATGGCACCCAACCAAGGTCTTTAAATATATCGTTTGTCCGTGCTCCAGTAATTATGCGCGCAGCACGATTTTGTAATTTCTGTAATTATTCTGCTAATATTTCATCAAAATCATCCCAAACAAGGTCAATTGCGTTACCATCAGAGAAGGTCAGACTCGTATCGTCAGCATACAATCTTGCTTTACTAACTGTTAAGCACTTCGGCAAATCATTGTACACAAGGAAGAGGATCGGACCTAGGATCGTACCTTGTGGAACACCATACGCTATTGATTTCATATCTGATAAAACACCATTAACAGAACACTGTYGGGATCTATCAGTCAAATACGACCTGAACCATTCTCCTGCACATGAATCAAAACCGTAGTAATATGACTTTGTAAGCAGAACATCGTGGTCAACGGTGTCAAATGCTTTTTTAAAATCAAGGAAGATGACACCGTTGACCAATTTTCGATCAATATTAAAAGACAATTGATTGGTGAGATCTAGAAGAGCGGTCAAAGTAGAATGTAATGGTCTAAATCCTGATTGAAGAAAATAGATTAAGTTATTTTCCTTAAGATAAGATTTTAATTGACTACAGATAATTTTTTCGAAAACGCGAGAAATTGTCGCTGTCACAGAAATAGGTCTATAGTTGTTTGAGTCATTATGATCTCCAGACTTAAAAATGGGAGTTACCTTAGCAGTTTTCCATTCATTTGCATACACACCGGAATAACTTTTTTTTTAACTTTATAACTTTGGTCTACCTAGAGGCCGTGTAGAATATAACAGTAAAAATATAAATACTATTTACACATTATATTGTAATATGCTAAACTATCATTACGAAAGAGAAAAAACAGATT